CCCGCCGGCACGGGAGGGCGGCATGCCGGACCCCACCGAACCGGGGGCTTCTCGCCACATACCGACGTGCGTCTTCCCCTCGCCCCCGCCGGCCGCCGGTCGGCCGGAGGACATGAACAAGGCGAGGAAGAGAGAGAGAGAGAGAGAGAGGCACCCGGCGCGCGCGCGCCCAAAAACAAACAGCCCCGGGGGCGAGTCAGCGGGGGACGAAATGGCGCATGCGCGTGATCTATTTGGGAGCGCGGTCACGCGGGGCCACATTCTTGTGGCTGCCAGCGGAACGGGCGCCTCCCCGGGAACCGCGCCCCGCCTCCCCCCCCCGCCCGCAGGAGCCGAGGGGAACACGGCGCAACAGGGACGCCCCCCCCCCCCCATTTTGTACACGGGAAGAAGGGCGGGGGCCATCGCACGAATGAAAAGCACACCGGCCGGGCAGGGGCGCCCGCCTCACACCACGACATCGGCAACGGCAGCCACCACAGCGGCGGCGGCGGCAGCCATCTCACGGACATCCTTCACCAGGCTGGTGCCCTTCGGGGTGCGGAAGCCGCCCTTGGTCTTGCCCAGGCGAATGATGACCAAATCCGACGCCCGGTCCACCATGGACAGCTGCCCCTCGAAGCCGCCCATGTAGAAGAGATCCTTCGGCAGGTCCTTGTGCCAGGCCACGTCGCCGCCGGTGTCGCCGTCGGCCGTGGCCGAGGTCCACCAGTGGAGGCCGTGCCCGCCGCCGGACACCGGGGTCGGCCGGGTCGACGCGTCGACCCACTCGCGCGGCACAATCCGCGCCCCGGGCCGGCCGTCGGCCGTCACCCACTCGCCGCCGCGCAGGAACAGGTACGCCAGGCGGGCCCAATCCCGGCCACTCATCATGGCAAAGGAGGACCCCACCTGCAGGCCGGCCGCATCGCGCTCGAAAACCGCCGTCGACATGCCCAGCGGCTGGAAGAGGCTCCGGTGCACATGGCCCCAGTACGCCTCGTAGTCCACCTGCCAGCCGGCCGGCCGCAGGGACCCCCCGGCCAGGGCACTGGCCGCCGCCTCGGCCGGGGCCTGGCTCCCGGGCACCGGGTCGCATGCGGCCCCGGCCTCCCCGACCAGGCGCCCAAAGCACCGGGTCTGCACCACCCGCTCCGCGAGGTTCGTATTGCCGGAGGTGTAGAGGAACCGGCTGCCCGGCGGCACGGCCGGCGTCCCGGGGCCCCCGTGCTCCAGGGCCGCGGCATACCCGGCCGAAGAGGGCTCCAGGAAGAGCATGCGCGCCGGGTCATTCAGCAGCCCGTACGACTCGTCGAAGGACAGCCCCGACGACTGGGACAGCAAATGCCACAGGGACATCTGCCCCAGGGGGTCGGCCGCCCACCGGCCGGCCGCCGGGGCCGGGGACATGGCAAAGCGCCGGGCCACGGCCGCGTGCCGGTGTGCCGCCGTGGCCGTGGCCGCCTCCGCCTGCGCCTCCGCCTCCGGGGGGTGCTCCGGCGCCGCGGCCGGCAGCAGGCTCTCGCCCAGCTCCGCGCCCGGGCAGTACACCGAGTGCCCGGCCGACGGCGGGGCCGCCGGCCACCACTCCGGCACCGACGGCCGAACCGGCGCATCCAGCCGCACGCAGCCCCCCTCAAAGGCCAGGGTCCCGGCCACGGCATTGGTCAGGCTCTTGGCCATGGACCAGCCCCCGAGCGGGGTCATCGGGCCCAGCCCCGGGGCATACGCCTCGGCCACCAGCCGGCCGCGATGCACCACCACCATGGCCCGGGTGCCGGGCGTGGCACTGGCAGCCGCCGCGTCGGCCGCCGCGTCGGCCTCGGCCGAGGACGCGCCGCCGGCCAGGGCCGCCGCCCGGGCGTCGGCCGCCGCCAGCTCCGCGAACTCCCGCCGCAGGCGCGCCTGCACCGGGGCATAGGCCGCCGCATCGGCCGCCGACACCCCGGCGTCGCCATGCGGCCAGGCCACCGCCGGGTCATTGGCAAAGGCCCAGGCGTCCGGGCCGGACCCGGCCGCCGCCAGGGCCCCCGGCGCCGGGTGCCGCGAGATCGGCGCCCCGGCCGGGAACAGCCGCCCGGACAGGGCCCCGGAGGCCGGCGCCAGGAAGCACCCATGCTTGCCCTGGAAGTAGGCCTCCGCTTCGAAGAGCCCGCCGGCCCCGGTGGCCCGGACCCCGGGCCCCGGCGCCTGCGGCCCCGCCTCGAAGAGCTCCACCCGGCAGATCCCCCGGGCCAGGGAGATGACATCCCCCCGGGCATCGATGTCCTCCAGCGACCGGCCGGACACGTAGTGCGCCGAGCACACCGTCTTGGCCACATGCCCGCAGGCCATCTGGCCCATGCGCGCCGGCAGCAGCGCATACTGCAGCACCTTGTCGGCGCTCAGCTCCAGCTTCGACCAAATGACCGCCAGCAGGATGGTGCTCAGCATGAAGCCGGTCATCCAGCGCGTGCGGCCGGGATGGGTGCGCGCATGTTCGCCAGGGTCGCGGCGCCGGGAGGGCTCGATCATGGTGTGGAGGGACGGGCGGGTGGGCGGACGGGCGCGTGTGCGTGTGTCGCTGCGGCAACAATCGCGAAAGGGGGGGGGAGGGGAGAAAAAAAAAGCAAACAGGGAGGACGAAGGTTCAATCGTCGGGTGCGCGGCCGCCCCGCGGCTGCAGCCGAGTCGGGTCGGCTTTTTGTCCCCCGCAGCTGTGTGTATCGGGGGGGGGG